ATGTGTTAATCATATTCGAATTTTATACATAATCTTGTGTGACAATTTAACTATCAAACAATTTAATTTATCCATAATTAACATTTCAACCCTTAGGTCCCATTTTCATCAATGATTCAACATTTATTCCATTTCTCTATGCCAAGCATGCATCTAGGTTTATTAAGAATAAAACCTCAACTTTTGTAAAATAACACAAAAGCCCCAAACTTTCACCAAATTACCAAACCAATCCCAACATCTCAAAATACTAAAATTTAAAGATAAAATTTATAGAGAGGAGTAGGATATCCCTACCTCGAAGTTTGAGCCAAAAAGGAGATGAAGACTCGAAGATCAACGTGCTCCAAACCCAAACTTTTGCAGATTAAGTCGAAGCTCTCAACGCCCTCTATCTTTTTAACAAAGGCCCTAGGCTAGATTCACACTCTAGGGAGTTCAAATCTTAGACAGAGTGTAGGTTTAGAGAGAGAGAGTCTCGGATCTAGGGTTTGAAAGAAAAGGAAGTGAAAAACTGATGTTCAAAAATGCTACTGTCCGCTGATATAAAACACGCTCGCTCGAGCGAAGCCTTTGTCGCTCGAGCGACCAAACACAGAAAAATCTCGCTCGAGCCAAGAAGTTCTCGCTCGAGCCGAAAAGCTAGAAGTGCGCTCGAGCGAAAGAATGCTCGCTCGAGCTAACAACTCAAACCCTCAGGTCTGCCACCAGCACGCTCGAGCGACAGACTTCTCGCTCGAGCGAAGAACAAACCAGACCGCTCGAGCGAAGAAAACTCGCTCGAGCCAAGAAATGCAACTCTCAGGTCCAGAACCAGACGCAATCGCTCGCTCGAGCGAAGCCACTCTGGCTCGATCCACCAGACACGAACTCAACTCTCGCTCGAGCGGCCAACTCCTCGCTCGAGCGAAGGTCCAAAAATCTAGGCAGCAGCACTAGGCTCCCAAACGCAACCAACCTGTAACAAACCTGCCCAACACATCCTATAACTCAATGTTCAAAGTAGTAACAGATGTAAACAAGACAATAATCAATTACTAACATCCACGGACACATGTCCGGATCACTGTTCAACAAGGGTAAACCCGGGATCGCTATAAATATTGGAGCTCCCACAAGGCTTGTGAGTTAGGAGAAATACTGACTAAACTATATTTGGTAGCTGATGATTGTACCTTTGCTGACTCATTTTTCTTTCGTAGCTAAAGTGGCTATCTTTGGCAACTAGATTTTCTTTTAAATTCTAAACTATGTATCTTTGGTGAGTAAATATTTTTAGTCACTGAAAATATATCTTTAGTGACTAATTTTTTGATCGTGAAAGATTATAAGTTATATTTATGTTAGTTTTTTGGCGACTAAATTTCTTTAGTCGGCAAAAATTAGTATACAACGACTAAATGTTTTTTGGTCACTGAAGATCAATATTTGGCTATTAAATTCGGTAGTCACCAAAGATTGAGTAAAATTATGGTACTTATTAGGCGGAGGAGAGCTATTCCATGGCTAGTGGAGCGGTGATGAGAGATGGAGGGGAGAGGAGCAACGGACACGGAGATGGAGAGAGACGCTGATAAGAGAGAGAGGCACAAGTTTGTTTAGGCTTTGGTTTGGAAACAAAATATATAAATCCCTCCAATTCGCGACTAAACATTTTAGTTGCTAATTAATTTTATAAATCCATTTCAAATTTGAAATGTGTCCCCCAAATATTTTAGTTCTTCAGCGAATAAAAATATTTTTAGTCGCTGGGCTATAAATGTTTGGCGACCAACCTTGTTGGTCACCAAAGATAAAAATTAATTTTTTTTATTTCATTCGGCGACTAAATAATTTTAGTAGCCAAAACTAACTATACAGCGACTAAATTTTTAGTTGGTTGCTGAAAATAAATTATTGGCTACCAAACATTTGGTCGCCAAAGATAAAAATAAATTTTTTGTTTTTCATTCGGCGACAAAATAATTTTAGTAGCCAAAACTAACTATACAGCGACTAAAATAATTTTTAGTCGCTGAAAATACATTTTTTGCGACCAAACTATTGGTTGCGAAAGATAAAAAATTAAATTTTTATTTTTCATTCAACGACTAAATAATTTTAGTAGCCAAACTAACTATACAGCTACTAAAATATTAGTTGGTCGCTGAAAATAAATTATTAGCTACCAAACCTTTGGTCGCCAATGATGAAAATAATATTTTGTTTTTCATTCGGCGACTAAATAATTTTAGTAGCCAAAACTAACTACACAGCGACTAAAATAATTTTTAGTCGCTGAAAATATATTTTTGCGACCAAACTGTTGGTCGCCAAAGATAAAAAATTAAATTTTTGTTTTTCATTCGGCGACTAAATAATTTTAGTAGTCAAAACTAACTATATAGCGACTAAAATATTAGTTGGTCGCTGAAAATAAATTATTGGCTACCAAACCTTTGGTCGCCAAAGATGAAAATAATTTTTTTGTTTTTCATTCAGCGATTAAATAATTTTAGTAGCCAAAACTAACTATACAACGACTAAAATTTTTGTTTTGTCGCCAATTGTGGCATATTTAGCGACTAAAAATTGTTTTCGTTGCCAAATGTGACATTTTTAGTGGCTACATTTTTTTTAGTCGGCAATAATCAATATAGCCCGACTAAAAAAAAATAGTAGCTAAATTTTGTACTTTTGCCAACTAATATAATGTTTGGTCACCAATTCCACCACTTTTGGCGACTAAATTGTTTTTAGTCGCCAAATTTGGTCGCCAAAAGTGTAATTTCCTGTAGTGTAAGGAATTTTCCAAGATGCATAAAAGGTTAAGTTGTTCGTTCCCTTCTTCTCTCTCTATTCAATCAATCTATCATATTCTAACTCGATCGTCGGAGGGTCCGCCGGGAGATTATCACCCCCTTTGGACCTTTTTGCAAGCACATCCTGTGGGCTTCAAGACCAGCAAACTCCACTACAACAAAAAGCACAAATGGCAACTAAAAATTAATTTTTCGTCGCTGAAAGTAGTACTTTGGGCAACTAAAAACAGTTTGGTAGCCAAAAGTGAAGACTTTAGGCAACTAAAACAAATTAGTAGCCAAATGTATAGTTATTGGCGACTAAAAATCAATTTAGTCGCCGATTATATGGGTTTTAGCGACTAAAGATTTTTTAGTAGCCAAAAGTGGCAGTTTTTGGCGACTAAAATAATTTAGTAGCCAAAAGTATAGGTTTTGGCGACTAAAAAACAGTTTGGTCGCCGATTCTACGTGTTTTGGCGACTAAAAACAGTTTGGTCGCTAAAAGTGAAGCTTTTTGGCTACTAAAAAAAAATTAGTAGCTAAAAACAGTCAATTGGCGACTAAAATTCACTTTAGTAGCCAAAAGGGGACTTTTTGGTGACTAAAAATAGGTTTAGTCGCCAAAAGGGGACGTTTTTAGGCGGAACATATTTTTTTAGCGACTGAAAATTAATTAGTAGCCCAAAATTATAGAATTAGCGACTAAATAATGGATTTAGTCGCCAAAAGTGACCTCAATTTTTTTTAGTAAATAATTTATTTTTTACATAAATTATATTGAATATATATAATTATATTTATATATATAGTTTTGTATTAATACCGGTGAATATACTATATAAATAATATATGTTGCATTAATATTCATGTGATGTTGTAGTGGCATAGTGGGGAGAGTGTGTTGCTAAAGGTGTAGAATGTGGGATGGGTCGGTGGTTCGAATCTTGGGAGCATCAGTGGGTAAATTTTTTTTTTCTGAAATATGCTTTTGGCGACTAAAAACAGTGGTCGCCAAAAGATTGACTATTGACGACGAAAAGCTTAGTCGGCAAATGTATAAATAAAAAAAAAATTCACTATTGGCGACTAAAAGATTAGTCGCTAAATGTATTATTTTCAAAAAAATAATTGACTATTGGCGACAAATGTGTTGGTCGCTGAAGACTAAAACTTTGCCGACTAAGACTTTTTTAGTTGACTTTTGGCGACTAAAAAAGGACTTTTGGCGACTAAAAATTTAGTCGCCAAAGGTGTTTTTTCTTGTAGTGCTCGTTAGAAGTGTGGATCAGTCCGACCCACCCTTTGTTGGAAATATACGTATTATCAAATTAGCTACCAAACTAAAGGGAAAACAAAATTTATTTAACATATAAACTTTAAATCAATGAATGTTTTTTCTTCTTTAATACATCAATTTGCTGATCATCATGGGCATTGTGCAGAATATCCGGGACCCCCATAGTAAAAATAAGTTCCGAGATCAGTATTTTTGTTTTCCGCAACATGTAAATCATAGCATGCAGAATCTGTAGCATATGGTTGAAGGGAAGCTGGATCTTGCAGAGTGTTTGACTTGTCAATGACTTTAAGATTATAGAAAAAACTTGATTTTCCATATCCTTCGAAGGGAAAATGGCCACTCCCCATTTGAGTGGTTGTGTGATGTCGTGCTGATCTTAAGTTGATGATCTCTCCTCCCCATGCCACTAACGTAGAGCTGTCAGCTAAGCCTGTGAAGATGGAACCAGGCCAGTAACCTAATACCACATCTTGCAGCTGAAGCCACCAATTTCCAGTGTGGTTGTCCTAATACATTTTTCATTAATATTGGGAAATCAACTACTTTGGATGGACTTATTTCATTATGAAAAATTAGTTTTGAATATTTTAAATTAAGCACTACAAGGAAACAACAAAATTGCTCTCGTTGCTCGAAATGTATGACAATGAATTTTTGACCTTGAGCGACACTATAATTCATCGAAAAAATTTTATTTTCTTGAAGATGGTATAGATCTTTGCACCCCTTTTTGTTTATTTTTCATATATTTTTTTGGTAAACTATATTTTTCAACCATGAACTTTCAGCCAAATTTCACTTTTATCTCACATTTTCTAATTGTAACAATTAAATCTTCTGATTTCAACACGTGTTTCAATGGGATCCTCCTATTACTCCTTCATTTGAAATTTGATTTAAGTTAAAAATTCAGAACCAAAGTAGAATTTGAGTGAAAGTCTATGGATGAACGTTTAAGTTGTCAAATGGATTTTTTTTTTAAATGTTTGTAAAATGTGCTGATGTGAGCATTTTTCATACAAATTTGAAATTGTAAGTGCCAAGAGGACCACATTGAAACATAAGTTAAAGTTTGAACATTATTTGTTTAAATTAAAAGATGAGGTACTAAAATGAAATTAGATGAAAATTTTAGTGTAAAAAATGTAATTTACCATATAATTTTTTGTAAAGGGCTGGAAAAATTATACCTATGATTTTTGTAATTTATCTTGTGTCAATTTGATCGTGTAATATCATTTTAGTCCAACTGATAACACGTATTAGAAATTGGACATAAATCAAGAACAAATGGTTCATTCAAAAGGAAATAGACTATTTCCAATTGAATGCCAACCACTCAATCATAATGAGAAGATTGACTGAATTATTTTGTTCCTAGATTTCAATTTAATTTTTAAAGGGACATAATCAATTAGACCAAATTGACATAATGCAAAAAATTCAAGGATAAAATTATTGTAATAATCATGACTAAAATTGACACAAGGCAAACTACATAAACAGTAGGTATAAATTGTTCAAAAAAAGTCAAGGAGTTGACCTAGTGGTCAAAGCTTAGGACCAGGGTGTGTTTCTTCCAAAGTGTTAGGTTCAAAGTCTCCTATAAGTGCAAATAATTTTTTGGGGACTAGTCCATATAGAGTTTTGTCTTGGCTGGCCCCCTCACCCGTGGATGATGGATTGATCTTCGGAATTAGTTGATCTAGTGGGACTAATACTAAGTGTGGTGGCCGAATAAATATGGTCTTGAGCTTCATGAATTGGTCAGGTACAAGTCAGCCCATGCCAGGCCCATCAGCTGGCCGCATATAAGTCGGCCCATGCTAGGTCTAGTGGAGGGCCATAGTCGAGTACAACCGAGTTGAAGGGCTATGAGAGCTGTGTAACCCGTTGGCTGTGTAAAAGGCCTAGGAACAAGGACAAAGCCCAGGAGAGGATAGTGGGCCCTGAGAGGGTCAATTGGGAGCAATATAAAAGGGGTGAGACAGAAGAGTTGAAGGGAGACAGTTTTGTTTAAACGAGAGAGTATTTCTAAATCCATTTCACCACCCTAAGTTAACAAAAAAATAAAAATAAAAATCCAAAACTAAAAGAAAACCGCATGTTCTTCTAGTGTTTCGAAGAAAATGATTTGAGTCGTATTTAAGGTTTACAAGTTGTTAGTTAAATAGATTGTAGCATATATAAATATACATATACATACCTTGTATATCAGTATAGATATGTCAAACGTCTTTCCCTTGTAGGTGGAAACAGGTTTTATGGTGGAACCAATGGCAAACTTATGATTTGTCTGTACAAAACCAGGGCAACTAAGATCATAGCATCCTGTGCTTTGATAGTTATCTCTCTGTTTGCCACATGAACGTAAAGTAAGGTTGAATTAATATGCCATCACTACCAACATGAGAATCAAATGTTGCTTAAAACTTGTTATATGTTGTGATTAATATCATGAGTTTTAAATAATCAATAGAGGATTAGAAAATTAAGGAAACTTACTGTCCAATATATAAAGAACCTTGTCTGATTGTCAAGATACAATCCGGGATAAACCTAAAAACATGCACCAACTTGTCTACTTAAGGATGCCATAACTATATATGTAATGACTCAACATACAATAGGTCATTGATAATATATCAAAATATTAAGGCCTCACAAACAAGCTAACACTTACCGTCCATCCAGCTTCAATAGTATTCCTGCTTGTTATGTCAGACATAACCCACATTTGAGATAAACTAAATTCATTAGCCTCTGTCCTAGGATTCCACACATTAAATGACGCGTGTGCTCCATGGTAGGTACTACCACTTTTTTCAGAAACAAAGGCATACTAAAATGAAACAAAAGATAAATTAATGCACAAAAATTTGCTAAATGTTTTGTATCTTGAGTAAACGTCAGATAGGCATTAAGTTTAGATTAAGCTCAAATTGTACCTCATGAGCACCTGGTGCTTGCCCAAAGGGGTAGTAATTGATAAGATTATACTACCTTCAGTTCAGTTTAACAGCAAACCAGAGGATAACAAACCAGAGGATAACTTCCCTAGTTCAGTATAACAGCAAATCAGAGGATAACAAACCAGAGGATAACTTCCCTAGCTCTAACAGAATTGTAACAGAATTAGTTATAGTGATATATGAATGTATAGATTGTAGAGATGATGAACTAATAGTTAGTAAGTCGGTTTCACTCTTTTATTATAAATATAGATGTACTGCTTGATTATAATAATTGAATTGAAGTTTCCAGTTTCTCATCTTGGTATCAGAGCATCTCTACTCCAATGAGTATTGATCCTTCTTCATCTTCTTTCTCACATTGAATTCTTGAGTTCTTGAATCTGTTTCAATGGCTTCTCTTCCTCCTAATCTCACACTGCTAATTTCAAATCTTAATTCTTTTGTCACTGTGAAATTGGATTCTACAAACTACATTGTTTGGAAAACACATCTCCAAAACATACTCAGAGCTACAAATCTTCTCTGTTATGTGGATGGCACTTGTGCTTGTCCATCTGCAACAATCACAGATTCAGAAGGCAAAAATGTTATCAATCCTGAGTTTTTGAGTTGGACACAGATCGATGCACATTTGCTAAGTTGTATTACAGCAACTCTAACTCCCACGGTGTTCACATCTGTGTTTCATTGCAAAAGCTGTCAAGAAATCTGGACATATCTTGATAAACGCTTCACATCACTCTCCAGATCTCATATACACCAACTCAAGAACAAACTCAGTAGTATCATGAAGAAATCTGAGTCCATGGAAGACTATCTTGCTCAGATCAAAAGTCTTGCTGATCAGCTCGCACTTGCTGCCTCTCCTATTGAGGATGAGGATCTTGTTTTGATTAATCTAAATGGATTGCCATCTGAATATAATGCTTTAAAAGTAGCTATTCGAGCTCGATCAGAGGCCATTACTATGGAGGATCTTGCTTCTCTACTCTGTTCAGAAGCTTTGCATATTGAAGCCGATCATAAATCTTCTTCAGATCTCACTGTTGCTTATACTGCAACTCGACATGAGACTTCTAACCAGTCATCTTCTTATCAGGCTGGTAGTCGTGGAAATAGATCATCATACAGAAGCTCTTCTCATAAAGGAGGAGGTAGATATTTTTCTAGAAATACTTTCAGTCGAGGTCGAGGCGGAAGATCTTCATCCTTTCATCATCCATCAGCATCTTCCTCTTCCTCTTCTTTGGTATGTCAGATCTGTGGCAAACCGAATCATACTGCTCTTGAATGCTAGCACAGACTGGATACTTCCTATTCACCACAAACTTCAACTGATAAACCTATTTTTCTTACATCTTCATCTTCTGCATTACCTAATTGGTATGTGGACTCTGCTGCCACAAATCATGTCACTCCTGATCTTACTAATCTCCAAGTTCATAGTCCTTATCATGGCCAAGACCATGTGACTGTTGGGAATGGTAATCAACTTCCTATTCACAACACCGGTAATGGTATTCTTCCAACTCCTTCTTTTCCTTTCAAATTGACTAATGTTCTTCATGTTCCACATATATCATCTAATCTTCTTTCAGTTCATAAATTGACTTCTGATAATAATTGTACTGTCACTTTTGATAACAAATCATTTGTGGTTCAGGACAAGACCACCAAGATACCTCTCTTCAGAGGTATGTATAGTCATGGCCTTTATCAGTGGCCTTCATCTTCTTCACAAGGTTCATCATCCTCACAAGTTTCATCATCCCAGCATTCTTCTTCTGCTTGTTTGGCCACTGCTACATGGCATACCAGACTTGGTCATCCATCTCCACAAAAGCTGCAATATCTTGTTAATAAGTTTCAGTTGCCTACTACTTCATCTTCTAATAAGACTTTGTGTCCTCATTGTAGTGTGGCCAAGAGTCACAGACTTTCTTTTGTTTTGTCTAATTCCACTGTAAATAAGCCCCTTTCTCTTGTTCATAGTGATGTTTGGGGCCCTTTCTCTCCATCTATTTCTGGTTTTAAATACTATGTTTTGTTCATTGATGAATTTAGCAAATTTACTTGGGTTTATCCTCTTTGTTATAAAAGTCAGGTGTTTGCCAAATTCATGGAATTTAAGGTGTTTGCTGAAAATCAATTTGAGACTAAGCTTAAAATATTTCGCACTGATGGTGGTGGAGAGTACACTAGTTCTCAATTTGAAACTTTTCTTAAAACCCATGGTATTATTCATCAAATGTGTTGTCCACACACTCCTTCCCAAAATGGAGTTGCCGAGAGAAAACATAGGCATCTTGTCACCACCACTATTGCTTTGCTACAACAATCAGGTCTTCCTCTTGCTTATTGGTTTGATGCTCTTGCTACTTCTGTTTTTCTTATTAACAGATTGCCTAGTTCTAAACTTCAAATCAACTCCGTATGAGGTCTTGTTTCATCATTCTCCTGATTTTGCATTTCTTAAAAGCTATGGTTGTAGGTGCTTTCCCTGGCTTCAACCCTATGCTTCTCATAAGCTCGCTCCTAAGTCCATTCCTTGTGTCTTCATTGGTTATCATCCTTCTATCAAGGGCTATCGTTGCCTTGATCCTATTTCTGGAAAAATCTATTTGTCTTGACATGTTACTTTTGATGAATCACTCTTTCCTTTTCTGACTTCACCTATTTCTACTTCTCCACATCACTCTTCACCTACTCTTCCTCAACTACATTCTTTTTTTGGTCCTCTTCTCCACCTGCTGCAGCTTCTGTTTCACCCTCTGCTCCATCAGTTCAGTCTTATGTCCGTCTGTTTCTCCTTTCCCTACACTCAGTTCAGTTTCCTGTTTCTTCCAGTCCGCCTGCTGCTATTCAGTCTACTGCTGCTCAACAGCCTCCTGCTGCTGCTCCTGTGTTGCCTAGTTTGCCCGCCTCTGCTTTCTCTCCATCTTCTGCTGTCCCTACTTCTATTCCTATTTCCTCTCTCACTATTGATCTTCCTTTTATGCAGCCTAGTTCTGCTACTTCTTCTCATTCTTCTCTCAATATTCATCCCATGACTACCAGGTCCAAGTCTTCCTCTTCTGCTCTCCTTTCTACTATTTCTCCTCTTATTGAACCTACTTGTTTCTCTGAAGCAGTTTTAACTCCTGAATGGTCTAAAGCCATGCAAGAAGAATTTCAAGCCTTGCAAGACCAAGACACTTGGTCTCTTGTTCCTCTTCCTTCTCACAAGCAAGCAATTGGCTGTAAGTGGGTGTTTCGCTTAAAGAAAAATTCTGATGGCTCCATTGCTCGCCACAAAGCTCGTCTTGTGGCTAAGGGCTATCTCCAGAAGGAAGGTATTGATTATCATGAAACGTTTAGTCCTGTTGCCAAGCAGCCTACAGTTCGGGTTCTTCTTAGCATTGCCCTTCATTTTAATTGGTCTATTAAACAGTTGGATATTTCAAATGCTTTCCTCCACGGTCTTCTTCAGGAAGAAGTTTATATGGTGCAACCTCCCGGTTTTGAAAGCTCTTCTCCTCATCATGTGTGTAAACTGAAAAAGGCTCTCTATGGACTTAAGCAAGCTCCTCGAGCTTGGTACTCAACCTTTTCTTCTTATCTTCTCTCTACTGGGTTCACAAATAGTCGTTGTGATTCTTCTTTGTTCATCCAGCGCACTTCTACCACTGTTACTTTTCTTTTGATATATGTGGATGACATCTTAATTACTGGAAATAGTGCTGCCCATATCGCTTCTCTGATTCATCATATGCACAAAGCCTTTTCCATGAAAGAATTAGGTGATATTTCCTATTTTCTTGGTATATCTGTGACTCGCATTGCCTCTGATTTATTTCTTTCTCAGCACAAATATGCTACTGATATTCTTCTCAAGGCTGGTATGATCAATTGTAAACCATGTTCTTCGCCCATGGCTTCTAAATCTGAGCCTCCGTCAGACACCTTGGTACCCTTTTCTCAACCATCCTTGTATCGAAGTATTGTTGGTGCCTTACAATATCTCACTATTACCAGACCGGACATCTCGTTTGCTGTCAACCATGCATCTCAGTTCATGCATGCTCCTACTGTTGCCCATTTTAATACTGTCAAGCGGTTACTTCGTTACATTCAGGGTACTCTTCATCATGGTTTATTCTTTACTCCAGGCTCTCTGAATTTACATGCTTTTTCTGATTCTGATTGGGCCGGCGATGTTCTTGATCGTAAGTCTACCACTGGGTATTGTGTCTTTCTCGGTTCTAACTTGGTTTCATGGTCCGCGAAAAAACAATCCACTGTTTCTCGGTCCTCCACCGAAGCCGAGTACAGGGCTCTTGCTCAAGCTTCTGCTGAACTTCAATGGCTTCGCATGCTTCTTCAAGAGCTCTCTCTTCCTTCTGCCACTCCTATTTTATGGTGTGACAATCTCTCCGCCATATCTCTTGCCTCTAATCCTGTTTTCCATGCCCGCACAAAGCATATTGAGGTGGATTATCATTTTATCCGGGAGCAAGTTCTTTCTCACAAAGTTGTGGTTAAACATGTGTCTTCCTCTGATCAAGTGGCTGATCTGTTTACCAAGCCCCTTCCCGTGGCTCAGTTTTCTTATCTTCTTCCCAAGCTTATGGTGCGTGCCTTACCCTGATAAGATTATACTACCTTCAGTTCAGTTTAACAGCAAACCAGAGGATAACAAACCAGAGGATAACTTCCCTAGTTCAGTATAACAGCAAATCAGAGGATAACAACCCAGAGGATAACTTCCCTAGCTCTAACAGAATTGTAACAGAATTAGTTATAGTGATATATGAATGTATAGATTGTAGAGATGATGAACTAATAGTTAGTAAGTCGGTTTCACTCTTTTATTATAAATATAGATGTACTGCTTGATTATAATAATTGAATTGAAGTTTCCAGTTTCTCATCAGTAATGTTGTCCTCCTTGCCGGTGAAATGGAAAAGTTCGATGAAGGTCATGATTTTGAGTCCTTCTAATGGGGATTGTTCCTTGTGGGCACTCTCCATTTTTATGCCAATTCTGAATAAGCTTGGGTTGAGAGTCATCCATTTTCATTCCAATTGGAGATGAGCTAGGTTCCATCTTGTTCCAGTGGAATAAAAAATTAGGAAGTGGAGGGAAATAGTTCTATTGCACATTTTGGCCCACATATTTTCATTTTTACATTATTTCAAATTCATTAGTTTTAATTCAAAAAAAAGGGAACGATTGTATGTTCATAAAAAATCCAACACTTATCTTGATGCCTCTAATTACCTAGTCGAGAATTAAGTTCAAGCCATTTTTGACATGTGATATTCGAACAATTAATTGTGAAAAAGTCTAAACATGCCCCAGCAAAAGAATGGAAAACTAATATGTAGAGTTATATATATAAATGTGTTGAAAAGTATATGACAAAAAAAAAACCTGTAAATCCTTGATAAGTGGATGATCAAATGCAGGTTGTTTGTAAATGTCGACGCAGTCAATCACATCACCATCTTCACTCTGTCAAAAATTAAAAATAAAATCAAAGAAACAAGTAAATAATTAATCCCCTAAATCTCTGAATATTTATAGCTAAAGAAAAGAAAAAGAAAAGAGAGGGAGAGAGAGAAAGAAAGAAGAAGGAAGAGCTTTTGTTTGAAATTGACCTCTGTGGTCTTGATTGTTCCTATACGCTTTAAGTTTAAATAATCTTGGATTACACCATGTTTGCCTTCAACACATCCATGGTTCAGCATGTGCATGATAGCTACCAACACAAATATGCAGCATGAAAGTAAATCTCTATGGTTCTCATTAGCCATCTAAATTTTTTTTTTTTTTTTCTATTTCCAATTTGTGTTGTATTGACAAATTTTAGTGTTGACACAATTTATATACCCAAATCATTCCGGAGAGTATTAAAGAGATCACAGGTTTAATGATGAATAATAAATTCAATCATACAAAAGACTCCAAAATTTCTATCAAAAAATTTACCAAACACTCACATGAATGTGAGACCCACACTCATGTTCATGTAAGTGGGACCTAAACTCATGTGAATATTTGATACTCCCTCCCTTCCAAAATATTAGTCCCTTATTTAATTTTTCATTGTTCCAAAATATAAGTCCATTTTCAAAAAATTAAGTACAAAAATAATATAAATTTCTTATTTTGCTCTTCTTTTAAATTCATTAACAACGTAAAAAGTACAATTATAACATTGATATTCCCCCAAAAAAATGTACTATCAAAAGGTAATTTTGAAAAATCAATTTTTTTGAAGTGCAATAATTGTATTACAAAAAAAAGTTAGATTCTCCAAATGGGACCACTATTTTGGGACGAATGGAGTAATTTATTTGTTTTTAAATTTTTATTATTTTTTTTGTCTCTCTGGCATTGCTGTAATAATTTTTTTTTAATATAAAGATTACATTATTTGGATATTAGGATAGTTAATGAAGTCAATAATTCAACCATTATATTTTGGATTAAAAGTGCTTTTAATAATTTACTAATAATGATGTGCAAATTAATTTTTATTCAACCAACCATGCATAAGATGACAAAAAATAATAAATGATTTATAGTATTTGTGTGTAAAAAATAAAATAAAAGGGAATACATCCTAGTGGGAGAATTTTTTTTGGAATAATGTCAGAAATCCTAAAAGTTCTACTAAAATTTTTACCAAATGTCTCATATGAATGTGAGACCAATTTAGAATTCACATAGCGTGGGTCCCACACTCATATGAGACATTTGATAGAAGTTTTGATAAAATTTTTGAAATCTCTAATTTCTTTTTCAACACAAACATGGAGGAGTGCAAGTCACATTTGCATCCCCACAACCTTTCACTTGTACCCCATCACAAGATCACTTGTACCCCATATGTTTTTGTAATTTGATTTATCTGTCCCACTGTATTGAATTTCTTCCAAAAAAAAAAGGGAAGAAAAGAAAGCAAGTTAGTAAAAAACTCATATCAAACAAATAGAATGAAAAGAAAATGGTATTGCTTTCACACATATTACTTAATCCTTAGGGATGACAACGGGACGGGGCAGCGTGGGAAGAGACAAGTATTGTGCTGTCCTACCTCTATCTTTAATCATATTGGGAGTAGGACAACACGGCGAGTTAGCAAAGTCGAGGCAAGAGCTAGACAGCGATTGGCTAATTTTATAACCTTTTGAATGGTGGTATTAATAAAATGCAAGATGATATGGTTACATATAATAATTTGTAAGTGATGAGATTAAAAGATGTAAAATGATAAATAAAAATGTGAAAATGAGTTTATAAGGGTAATATTTTATTCTGTGTAAGAAATTTAAATTTTATATATAAATTTATTTAATAAACATAATTGAGGGTGAGAGAGATAGAAGTGGATGAGGAGAGGAAACCCGTCCTTAACCCGCTTTCTCATTGGAGTGGAGGAAACTCGTCCAAGACGAGTTGGGAGGTGTAGGGACGAAGCATGATGGAAAAAACAATGCCATTGCTATTGATCATTGATTTTTGTATGTTTCTTTAATTTCTCTACAGTTTTATTGATAGTCATGTTTGGTTTGATTGTTGTCATGAAAATTGTAGGTGTTGAATTTTAACCTCATAATCAAATTGAATCTCTTCGTTGAGATCTTGGGAACTAAACCGTAGAGCACGCGTAAGAATAAATAAGTCCAACACCTGCACATTAGAAGACCACAAGACTGGTGGCTCGTTTACCTAGAGGCACTCCGACGATCAAGTCATCAACTATCTCTCAAAGATATCGGCTCAAAATAACACACAATTTAGAACGTACCTTAAATCCATGGGGGTACCCTCTTTATATAGCTAACTTTTCCTTAGAAGTCTTACTTCATAGGACTCTATCCTTTACAAGATATCACTTATCTAGGACTCTTCCAATTTAGATTAAGATCAACTCTCACAAGAGTCTAACCTTACCCAAACAAGTAGTCTGATATCATCTAGGAGTCTTGTCATCTATTTGAATATCTCAGATTTCGGTATGATCGCATCATACCTTGGCAATCCTAAACCACCTACGTAGCACCTCAACCAATAACCTAGGCCACATGGACAACCCAAAATTATATCCCCACAACTGCCCACTAGGTTTTGCCTCAGCCATACTAAGGTGATCAAACCTATATTATCAAACCTCCCAACATGTCGACTAAACAACATGTTAGGAGATGCTTCTGTGACTGAGATCATGACTCGCCGACTTCCAAGAAACAAGAAGTTACAAAAAACATAGAACCCAGATGCCTCTTCTTGTCCTAGTTCATCATGCCAACTATGATCACACTACTAGCTGAGATCATGACTCGCTAGTTCAAGAACTCCAAAATTCGAAAGCTGTCATCTCAAAACAACCTCAACCGTTATACCTACACCAATGACGTGTCAACTCCTTGACGTGTCAACTCCTTATTGGTTCCCAACACGTCCTTTCACTGACACACATTGCTTGACCTTACGTTAGCTGACGTCAACTATTACATGTTTCCCAAGAAATTTAAAATGTTTTCATTTGCCACCATCTCTTTCTCCAAAACTACTCTCCCAGCTCTTCATCTTCCTTTTCATATTCCTGACTTTCTCTCTTCTCAGACTTTCTCCCTTTAACCTCCATTGTTGCACCTTCGAATCTCCACCACTACAATTACTCCGTTCGCTATCTCCGGTGACCGGAATGATTTTCTGCTCCGATCAAAAGCTTCAGTTTTCTCCGATGAACTCAAATCTGGCGTCCATTTCTCCATTACCGATCTATAAGTCTCCCAAACCCATACTTTCAATTTCAGTTTTCAAGTTTCTCGAACCTGTTTTTCATTGATCTTTACCATTCTTCATTTTTCTAGTTTTGTTCGAATTTTCTGCATATTTACCTCTATTTTTCCACATTCTAGATTTGAATCTACGTTTTAGTCGTAAAACTTGAGATTTTCCAAACTGTCAGTCCCAGAACTTAGGGCTCCCAAAATTTTCCAAACCCTAGGCTGAATATAACCATCAAGAACACCAAGAACATATCATAGGTATGCATAGATGTAGAATTGATACCCCTACCAAAATCAAAAACTTTCGCTAAGCATTCAACATCCCAGCTGACGTCCGGATATGTCTAGCGAGTTAGAATAACTCTATTATGCCTGGGATAACTACATTTCTCGTAGTATCCACAATATAGGGTGGGATCACATTTTTCCTTAACATCTTGTTTCAAGAAATGACGTACTTTTATCGTCTGAACCCCATGCAATTAGCCATAAACACATTCTGAATCATCAATGGAATTACCGAGCTATGTTGCTGACATAACACTAGGATGATCCTTACCAACATCCAATATTATTATACCATGTGTGGCCTGAAATCCAAAAGTGGCACCACCTATTATCTCTATCATGACCCAAACCCACCCCTAAAAGTTTGGATCATGACCGGCCAGTGACCTCTTGATTACTTATGGCGTCAAACAAAATTACCAAGAGTTTATCATAACGAGGCCCGAGCAGAAGTAAATAAAATAACAAGACATCCATTGAGCAGTGCTTATATGCTAGGATTTTAAGCATCAAGTCACATATAGAGAGTTCACATACACAATTCATATAAATACAAGTCCAAGTCATGTAACTATATACAAAGAGTTAAAAGCCCAAAAATTACATATTGACCAAGTGTTCAATAAAAGCCACCAAAGAATTAACAAAAATGTGGCATCAAAAGAACTCCTCAAAATATATATATACAACGTATACATGTCTTATCCATAATAATATTCCAGAACGGCCTCGGGCCCAAATAAGACGGAACGGCCTTGGGCCTAACATAATACGGAATGGCCTTAGGCCGAACATATCAATAGATGTTCTGAACATTATAGGGTAGATGGAACATCGGCATTTCTCCAACTCCCTCAGCCTTAGGGCCATGTGTCATAAACAATCCATTTCAGACATAACGGCCTTGGGCCCATCATACATAACAGAAACAGAACGACCTTGGGTCCATTTCATATACCATTGTAATCCAATGCTCAATCATTTCAATCAAAACACAATTATATAGAGTATGCAATTCTCTATCCAAAATACACAAATCATAATCAAATACATAAATCATAACATATTGTTACACTACAATTACTCACAGTGATTTAGTCGTGCAATGGTCCCTTCAGGCAAGTGACCTACACATGGCACACACACAACTTGATAAGCAATTCATTTTTTCTTAGCTTCTTCACTTTAATTATTTCTTTGTTTCGTTCGTTTTCTATTCATTTCTAAGCATTTTGGAGGACTTAAACATATACATTAACAAATTCAAAGGGTCGAAAAGATGTACAAAAACATGTAGATTTTTTCCTTATTTCCCGCACGTGCAGAAGACCCTCACCGGATGTGCGGAAATGTGTACCGCACGTGTGGGCCGCACATGCTTTTATTTCAGAATGCTCGACTTGTTTCCCCTGTTTTCCGCACGTGCGGCTGTAAGCGTCGCACGTGTGGCTCTGGGCTCTGTTTGAGTAGTTCGAAGATCCAACAAATTCAAGCTTTCCAAATGTATTTCTAAGGCTCAATTCAAGCAAATTCACTTCATAACCATGATATATGAACATATTAAGCATGAAACACAAGCTCAATTAGATCAAACTTCCTTTAAGTTGACATATAGAACTCTAATTTCTAGGATTCCTTCATTTTCTTCATCTTTTCATATATATACACACTAGCATATCACCCGAGCTATGCACGGATTGTGTTTACAATCTATATTATATATTAAGCAAAAGGGGGTTTCTAACCCCCAAGGCCTGTGGGAGCTCCAATATGTCAATCCTAAATTTCTAATTTTTTGTTTTTTAAAAAAAAAAATTAACCTCAGCATTTATTAACTTCTCTCAACCCACAAGACTTTTTGACTTCTCTCATAATTATTGCAGTACCTTTTCCAAAACAAATAATTTGTATATTAAAAAAAATTTAAAACAAATATAAATATTTATATTTATATCTATATGTATCTATTTATTTGTATCTGTCTCTAACCCACAAGTTTTGTGGGAGTTCCAATATTTGAACCTTAATTTCTTAATTTTTTTGATAAAAAAAACTTAGCACTTATTAAATTCTTCCAAGTCTTTTAACTTCTCCAATACACACTAAACCCTAAACCCTAAACAAAAACACTCACAAAGAAAAAATGTGATTGTAATGTGATGTAATTGTAGTTTGTTTAATGGCTCTTTTTTTTAATATGATTGTTATAGTTAGTTCAATGGGTTTTTTTTTAATGTTATTTAATCTTTTTATTTACTATTTTAATTTTATTTTTAATAGATTGAAGTTAGATAAACATAAACACTCACAAAGAAAAAAATGTGATTGTGGGAGCTCCAATATGTCAATCCTAATTTTCTAATTTTTTTTTTTTTAAAAAATTAACCTCAGCATTTATTAACTTCTCTCAACCCACAAGACTTTTTGACTTCTCTCATAATTACTGCAGTACCTTTTCCAAAACAAATAATTTGTATATTAAAAAAAATTTAAAACAATATAAATATCTATATCTCTATCTATCTATTTATTTATATTTGTCTTTAACCCACAAGTTTTGTAGGAGTTCCAATATCTGAACCTTAATTTCTTAATTTTTTTGATTTTTTTTTTTAAAAAAACTTAGCACTTATTAAATTCTTCCAAGTCTTTTAGCTTCTCCAATACACACTAAACCCTAAACCCTAAACATAAATACTCACAAAAAAAAAATGTGATTGAATGTGATGTGATTGTAGTTTGTTCAATGGCTCTTTTTTTTAATATGATTGTGGTAGTTAGTTCAATGGTTTTTTTTTTTAATGTTTTTAATCTTTTTTATTACTATTTTAATTTTATTTTTAATATTATTTGAAGTTACATAAACATAAACACTCACAAAGAAAAAAATGTGATTGTAGTTAGTTCAATAGTTCTTTTTTTTTAATGTGATTGTAGTTAGTCAATGGTTCTTTTTTTCATTTATTTATTTATTTATTTTATTATGGAAAAAATGTGACGCGTGATTGTAATTTATTCAATGTTTCTTTTTTTAATGTGATTTAATCTTTTATTTACTGTTTTAATTGTTTTTATTTATAATTATTTATGAAAAAAATATGATTGTAGTTAGATAGCATAAAAATATTTGTGATTTGATTTATTTTTTTTCTGATTTGATTTTAAAAGTACCAATTATTGATAATGATTAGATTGTATTTTGAAAAAAAAAATTGTAATTGATTTTTTTAACTCACTGTGTTTTTTGAAAAAAAAAATTATTGTGTTTTTTTTAACTATCAATTCACTTAATTTATTATTTGATTTTAACTCATTGTGTTTTTTGAAAACAAAATAGATTGTACTCATTAGGGTCACATAATGTATCAATTATTGATGATGATTAGATTGTATTTTGACCAAAAAAAAAATTGTAATTGATCTTTTTAACTCACTATGTTTTTTGAAAATAAATTATTGTGTTTTTTAATTATCAATTGACTTAATTTGTAATTGATTTTTTTTAATTATTGATGATGATTAGATAGCATTAAAAAAATTGTGATTATGTATGATTGAAGTTATCTCATTTTGTTTATAATTTTTATTTTTTAATATGATTAAGTTAGATAAACATAAACACTCACAATAAGAAAATGTGATTGTAGTTTGTTCAATAGTTCTAAATAATCTCTTTTTATTTACTATTTTAATGGTTATTTTTTTCAATTATTTTTTTTATTATGAGAAATATGTCATTGTAGTTAGATAGCATTAAAAAAATTGTGATTTGTATGACTGATGTTATCTCCTTTTGTTTATAATTTGATTTTTTAATATGATTGAAGTTAACTCACAAAAAAAAAATGTGATTGTAGTTTGTTCAATGGCTCTAAATAATCTATTTATACTATATATTAAACAAAAGGGGTTTTTAACCCCCAAGGCCTGTGGGAGCTTCAATATCCCAATCTGAATTTTCTAAATTTTTTTATTTTTTATTTAAAAAAAAAATTCAGCATTTATTGATTTGGTCAAAATCCCCTGATCAGCATTTATTAATTTTTTTCAATCCACATTCTTTCCACATGACTGCATTTATTGATTTGGTCAAAATCCCTTTATACAAATAATTATAGATACAATCGTGTATATTTTACTGTAGTACCCTTTTTCAACTTCTCCCATACACTATGGTTAGTAATAAGATTGTTAAATTATTTTTATAAAAAATCTTAAAAAACATAATTTATATATTAAAAAAATCTAAAACAAATATAATATATTAAATTATTCGTACATAGCACGGGTGATAGGTTAGTTATCTATATATGTGAATTTGATTTTAAATTTTTTTTAAATGTTTTCTTTTTTCCTTTTTTATATTATTATATTATATTAAAGTTTAATATTTTGATAATAATCATATGGTTGAACTTTTCAAGAAATTTTTTTTATGCTTGTTCTTAATGTATTAAAGTGACATTATGAGGGATAATAATCATATGTGTTGAGACTTTTCAAAGAATTCATATGTTTGGATTTCAAAGATTTTTTTTTATACTTGTTCTTAATGATTAAAGTGTTATTATGAGGTATGACTTGGGAGCTGGAGAAGTTAATAAATGCAAAGATTTTTTTTTTTTAAATCAAAAAATCAAGAAATTTAGATTGAGAGGTTGGAGCTCCCACAAGGCTGGGGTTAAAAACCTCATTTTGCTTAATATATAGTATAGATATTCATGGACTCAAAGCATGCAAAGAGGAAAGATTAGGAAACAATTCCTCATAATCAAACCCAACATAAGCCGAAAATAGAATAATCTACCCTTCACTTAACCAAATCCTAAGCTTCCATGTTCAATTTCATGAGATATGTTCAACCAAGATCATAACTCAAAACCCAACTGTTATGAGTGCAAAAGCTTTATCTTAGGTCTTAACTCCAAGCAATTGAAGAGATATTTCAAGTCTTGAGTTGATTAACACTTACCTTGAACCAATCTTGAGTTACTCTTTCAATTTCTTCAATCTCCAAGCTTAGGTTGAATACTCTTATTCTCCTCTTTTTCTCTTCTTTTCTCTCTCTCTCTCTCTCTCTCTCTCTCTCTCTCTCTCTCTCTCTCCAGGAGATATTTTTTGGTGGTTTGATGAGTCTAAGTTCCTAAGGCTTATGTATATACATTACAACTAACAAGGCTTAGCTCATTAAGCCTAAGTTTAAGCTTATTTAAGAGTTTAGCTTAAATAAATCTAATTAATTCATTACGAATCAAATTTTTACAAAACTTCATATTATATTCTAAAAATCATGTTAATCATAACTGTAAACTCAATTTCAGTTTATCGGCCTCTAAGGCATTCAATTTGAGTCCCAAGGGTCGTAATTTCAACAGATTTTCTCAGCCGACAGATACAAATTTATAAACATGTAATTCACACATTAAAACATAGAATTTCACATCAAACACATAAGCACACATATAATCACGCATAGAATGGAAATTAAAGCATATGAAGCATATGAAAGAGTTGGGTTATTACACTCTTCCCCCTTTAAAAAGTTTGATCCCTCAAACTTATTTTATCTCAAGTTGCAAATAACTACAAATACCGCTGTTTCATTTCCTCTTCTCTCTCCCAAGTGGCTTCTTTCCCATAGTGTTTCTGTCATTCAACTTTCACCATTGGAATTGTCTTGTTCCGTAGCTGTTTCACTTGTCAATCCAAAATTTGAATCGGTTTTCTCTTCATAGATCAAGTTGTCATCCAAAGCAATCTGACCGTAGTTTATGACATGGGAGGATCTTGGAGATAGCCCTGTAACATTGATATATGAAACACGTTATGTATTTGCTCCAACTTGGTGAAAAGCAACACAATAAGCCACTGGACCTACTTTTTCCAAAATTTGAAAGGACCCCATATTGAGGTGCTAATTTTCATTTCTTGCCAAATCTTGTTTGTCCTTTCATCGGGGTGACTTTAACAAAAACATAATTACAACCTCAAATTCCAAATCCTTTCGTCGGTGATCCGCATAACTCTTTCGCCTACTTTGGGCGATTTTCAATCTTTGTTGAATGATTTTAATTTTCTCCGTTGTCAATTGCACAAGTTAGGCCCAAACAATGATCTATCGCCGACTTTGGTCCAATACACTGGAGAGCGACATTTCCTACCGTACAAAGCTTCATATGGTGTCATTCCTATGCTCAAGTGGAAACTATTATTGTATGCAAACTCTGCCAACAGTA